CACATCCGCAGGCCTCCTGCTTCTGTGAAAGCTCTGCAGCCTCTCCTTTTGAGGTGCAGCCGTGGAAGGTGTGGTGGAGGACTGGAGGAGAAACTTAGCTAAACTACGCAGGTGATGTCTTGTGGGTGAGGGGACATGTTTAGGGTTTTTTTTTCCTATGTTAGCCTCTTTAATCTGTCTTTTTTGGGGGGAGAGTCAAGACATGTGGTGGTCCTGGCCTCATCACCAATAGGTAGTGTTGCCATGGGGCTGCAGTGTGGGACATGGTTAAATGCAAGAAGGTGTCAGTGGGGGGACGGTGCTGCTGCAGGTTGGGGACTGAGGTTCACTGGGTTTCTTCTGAAGATTTGAGCTCAGTGCGGTCTGACTGCGTAGCTCTGACCAGACACTTGCGTCTCACGCTCGCCAGCGCTAGAAGTATTAACCTCCATCACACGCAATACCCCTGAAATTCCTTGCATTTGTCATGTGTGTGTTGGTAGCTTAATTACTAAAAAGGTATAGCTGCCCTCAGACTTCCTATTCTGAATAATTTATTTTTACCTAAAATCGATAGATGTTCTTTGAGAAACTATTTTAGTTACCATAGTTTGATGTGGCACTGTGTGCCTGGACAGAGATGGGGCTGAAATCTACAGATGTAACTTCTAAGCTTGAAATTTGTGGGGACGTGGCTGCTGAAGACTGAGAAGTTTTGAGGTTATGGCTTGAGGGAAATCACGGAATGCTTTAGCTTTGGAATAAGCTGGTGAGAAATGCCTCTCGGGGGGACATGGCTGCATTTTTAGAATACAAAATTGCTTCTGAAGTCTCAGAAGCTGAGCAGTATTAAAAAGAGAATAAAGTGTTTAAAAGTAGGTGCAAAACAAAAGACAAGTCCTTCTGAAGCCACAAAGACAATCAGGCCGTGTAGACAATCTGATATTTTGAGTTGGGAGGAAGGTAGTGGCTAACGGCAGCTGATTCTTAGTGGAAAAGAAGGATTTGTCAAATTACTGGAACTGTATTTTTGTACTCCAGCGTAGGATTTCCTACCTAGTTGGACGTGCGGAGAGAGGGGAGAGAGACCATCTTTATTCTTCTTCACAGAAGCATTATCGGGAAGTTAGTGTTCATACTGCATCTCACCCGCAGAACGGGCCCACCTGCGCTCCCCGCTGCTTCCTGTTCTCTGTCTACTGAATCTTTGGTGCAGAAGCTCCTTGTTTACATGAAGCACTTTCTGATTAGGCTGGAAATTAGCGTCTTTTCCTCCTGTAAATTTGATGGAGATAACCCATTACTGATTATATTTTGCTCGAGGACAGAGATACAAACGTTAAGTTTCTTGGATGAGGAAGACTCGTGCTCCTTTTTCTATTAACGAGGGAGCTCAGACTTTCATTTAGAGAGCAACATGCAAAAACTTCCTATTCCCCTTTTCCAGGCCCCCTCTTTTCCTTAATATATGGATGAATAACTTAATTCCTGAAACAGATTCTTCCTTTGAAATGTTTTGTTATTCCACAGAGTTACTGTAGTTGTGTGTTAATAACTGCTGTGTTGGTTGGCAGTTTCTTGTTGTATTTTTCCTGTTCTTGAGGAGTTTCATTTCTGAAAGTTAAGGCTGTGGCCACCCGTACTTGTAAGCCTTGGTTTTTTGGTCCTGGAATGTCCCAAATGTTTGTCTTCTGTGTTTCTTTGGTTTGGGTTTGGTGAGGGGTTTTTTTGGGGGGTTGGGGTTTTTTGGGGGGTTGTTTCTTTGGAAAGAATACTCGCGCTGTTTGAGGCACTGTTCTTTCTTCTTATAACAATATGCGTATATGGTAGAGGTGGTGCTGAGCTCTGCCCAACACAGGGAACAGCTCAGAGATTAAAGTGTAAAACTGTATTTGGGGTTTCTGTAATTATCTGTACTGCCAGAAGGTCGCCCTGCCTTCGGCACCGTTACTGTTTTGTTTCTCGTCCTTGTGTTGTTACTGGTATAAAGTCAAGTGCCTTCAATGCTAAAGGCTCAGAAAACTTTCTTAAACTGACTTCATGTCCTATGCAAGTGTTTTTTCTACAACCTGCATAACCAGTACTTTGTAAAACTTGTTTACGCTTCAATTGTACATAGTGTTTTTTAAAAAAAAAAAAATAGTATTTTTATTTAGGTACCTCCAAACTTGAATTCTAGTCTTGTGTGATGCATTGTAAAACAATACATTTCTCTTTTGAGTACCATTACAGTTGTAAAAAGGTTTTCACTGGTTCTATTTTTCTACTGTTGCTGAGAAGCATGTAACACTGACTTTATCCTACGTATAGTTGGCATTTCAAATAAATGGCTTGTATAGAACCTGCTTGTGTGACTTCTTCCACCGAGCCCTTCCTGGGGGGCTGCTGCAGCAGCGCCAGCCCACGCACCGGCACGACTCCGAACTCGCTGTGACCCCGGGCCGGCGAGAAGGAGTGGTGTGACACAAACCTGTGCCCTCCAACAGGGGAGGAAGGCTCTTAAAGCTTCCGCGGGGGGGAGAGGGGGAAGTGCACAATAATGCTTTGAACATCAAGGCTGTGCTACAAACCAGTGTAAAAAGAGGAATTCAAAATCGGTGGCACCGTTCAAGCAGCTCGTTAAAAAGGGAAGGTGCTTCAGTGAAATAGTTCAGTGAGTTCTTCTGGCTTGAGGTCCATTCTCTTCCACCCACCATTCTCTTCCTGCGCTGCAGTTCTCTGCATCATCAGCTGGATGTTCATTAAATCTCTTTCACAGAAACGAGTGCTTTGCTACTTCAAAGAGACAACTCAAGTTTGGAAGTGCCATCCAGCAGCAGAAAATGGTGATTCGTCTCGCTTTGATGTACAACAGCAAAATAGGGTGGGGTATGGCCTAGGAGTTTACTGACAGCTTCGCTCCCACAGCCAGGGACGTGTGTTTAAGGAGCAACTTCCTAAATGAGACAAATCTTAAATTTGTGGTTAGAGGCTTTCTGTTCATTTTGCAGCAGTGTTCTTCTTAGTCTGCTAACTTTATAGCAGAGAGGATGCCTCTTCACGGGGCAGGCAGGCTTTGGGGAGTGAGCAGAGCTGCATGGATGAAGCTGGGAAGGGGGAGCATTAAGGGCTGGGTCTGCTTCAGGCAAACCCTGCTCTGTGACCAGGACAGGGATGGACAACACATGTCATAAGTGCTGACCCTGCAGTATGAAAGTGCAGCTGTAATAACTCCTTGTGGAAATTAACATGCTTGGTTCAAAGAACTGCCTTGCAACTGCGAGGTTGCCGTGGGGGTTGGACTAGGTGAGGTCCCTTCCAACCCTGACCACTCTGTGATTCCTGGAGCATGGGGGTGGTGGGACTGGGCCTTGCCGCAGCATTTACCTGCGCCCTGGCAGCTCTCGCTGCTTTTCTATATGTTGGAGAGGACAGCGCAACTGGGAGCACCCAGGGAGTCTGTTCAGGGTGCTGGGACAGCACTTGCCTCTGGGCACCTTCTCCCCCAGAGGAAACAACATCCTGTTCCCCTTTTTCTCCTGCTCAAAAAACATACAGGCAGGTGGGACCCCAGCCCCTGTTTGACACCTGCGTAGGGACAGGGGACAGCGCCTGCCTCGGCACCCAAGGTGTGTCATGGCCACACGGCTAACAGGTCATCACTGTGTTTCACTGGATCCGGGATGAAAACAAAGTACTACAGCAGCATGTCAAAAAAAGGAGACAGCACAGATTGAACAGTTCTTTAATTTGTAGGTATTTGAGTTTGATACGCAGTTACAACTCCCGAAACAGTTGCTACAAAAAAAAAAAAAAACAACCAAAAAAGCACATACACTACCCAGAGTTAAATTTAAAAGCAACTAGTCATTTCGCATGAAACTAAACTGATGAACTGAGCCTCTACGCTAGGACGAGCTTTTGTAAATAAAGTGGACAGAAAATAGTAATGGGGAGAACGATAGCAAAAGGTCTGATTTTTTTTCTTCTCAGAAGTCATTAATGTGGAAGCAGATTAGTAAGCCTGTGGTAAAGAAATGCTCCAACTACATCAAGCAGGACTTAAAAATTAGAACTTACTTAATGTTTTGGGGGTTGTGAGTAAAGAAAACTAAAAACTACATTAGGCTCCAAACTTGTGGAAAGTCAGTATTTCATTGTAGCTAAGTGTAGATTCTTAAAAGTCAGTGAAACATCTCCTGTTCCATGGTTATCACAGTGATTATAAAAAGGTCACACGTTTTATACTGTAGCAAAGTGCCAGGATGCTGCAGTGTTTTCGAGAATGTTTATGAAGGAGAATAATTTGCAGTAGGTTAGTTTTTAAAATCAAAGCACATTAGAAGTCCTATAACAACCCCCCCTGCATAATTTGTAATTTAGTACCTCCTCCTAGGTATCGTTTATACTCCAGTGAGTGGATAAAGGTCATGTGACAAATTTCTGCATGTAAAACATCACTGTACAATATTAGAAACATAGTTTTTTGAATTTATAAAAATGGAACACTCTGTTGCATCAAGCCTAACCTGTGATTTCTCATCTTTCCCCTGCCGAGGGAGCGCTGCCCCAGCGCAGAGTGGGCGCACAGGAGCACAGTGCCGTTTCATTCCCCAGATATGACCCGAGCATCAGGAAGCAGTTTCCCCTACCAGTCATGACACATAACGCGTGCCTGCTTTACCCTTCAGGAGCCCTGGCCTCCCTCCGCGTAGTAAACAGACACTTCCTTTGCACGGGGAGCCTTCGCGAGAATCGCGACACCCCGAAGTGATGGTGCAGGAAGCAGGAAAAAAGAAAAGCAGGAAAAAAGGGAGCAGGAAAGCCGTGCGCTCCAGTCGGGCAAAGCAGAGCGAGTGCGCGTTCCCCGTGCTGCAGGGCAGGCAGACCCTGCCCAGGCTGCAGCGCAGCTACAGCTACAGGCACAGTGACAGAGGTGACAGGCTACAGGGACCGCGCGGTGGCACGCTGTTCTTGTAACAAGCCATCCTCCCCCTTGAGACAAGGCCAGCTTTCGGGAACGCAGAGTCCAGCAGGACTGAAACCCCTATAAATGCAATGTACCTGTTAAGAACGCTTTCAGTCGCTACAAATAAAGGAAGTGTGAGACAAAATGAAGCTGCTTCTTGGACAGTTGGATTTTGATGAGAAGCCAAATACTGAAGATGCCTCTTCTGTTTGTCAGTGAGTATCGTTTTCCCAGCTGTCCTTTCCGACCCAAACCCTCTCAGTCTAACTACAGTAGTACTGCATCCTGTTAGTCCGTCGTCTTTTCCGGGACTGAAATTCTTCAAAGAAGTGCTGAATGTCTTCTCTTTTAACCACCTAGGGGAAGCAACAGGAAGCCCAAGAAGTGGTACAATAATTCAATTAAATTATCTTTTTTTTTTCCCCCTTGCGTGCATCCCACATGTAACACACAAAGCACATAAAGGCAGGTATCCCGAAACCTCTCTAGCAAAACAGCTTTCCTCTCCGGCCCAAGGGAAATGCTTAACGCCCAAATTCTATGATAAGGGAAGGCAAACGGGGAAACAAGCCCCCACAAAGGCAGTCCCAGCAGTATTTTTAATGGGTTTGACCACTTGCTTTTGTCATCAGGAAAATTAACACAAAGCAAGATTTTCACTGGCACACTTCAGAATCATTACAATATAACTAAGAATGGCAATTTAGTAAATAAGCCAACAAGATGCATGTGTTGATTACTAATAGCACGCGAATTCCTCCAGAAAACAAGACTGTTTGCCAATATTTAGTCAATCCTCATTCTTCTAAGGGTTTAAATTCAATCTAAGAAAAAACATAAAGGTTAAGAGCTTTTTTTCCCTGAATACTTTCCCTAGAGCAACAGAAGTTCCATTTAATTTTAAGAACTGTTCTCAGTACTTTAGACGGAATTCTGTAAGGTCCCTGCTATCTCTCAACAATGTCATTACGGAAATACAACTTTTAAATTCCAATCAAATCGGGGATTTCTAGTTTCTCTGCAGTACCAGCAACTCCAAAAGACAGAAAAAAAAATGTAACAGCATCATCATATTATTCAACACCCACCCTTCAACAGTACTTTAAAACACATTATCTGGCAAACAAATTCTGCGAGTTGCACCTTACCGTTCCCTCGTCTGCAAATCTCCTGAGATAGTCAGTCAGTTCTGTCTTTAAATCGTTGTATTCTGGACGGAGAAGCAAAGGCAAGGGGAAGAAAACAGAAAAACAAGAAGATGCCCAGCTTTAGTTTAACACTGGCTTAAGACGACAACTTGTTGTACTTCCTCTTGTCATTCGTTAGATTTACTTGAGACAAATCTAGGTTTGAACTGGATTATAAATAACAATAATAATAATAAAAACAAAGGCAAGTCCAGGTAAAGTTGAAAAGCCTAATAATATATCAGACTAGTCTACACAGCCTGAATATCTGTTCAGATGACCTTCAGAGAAACATACAGAAGGACAGTGAGTGAATTAGTACAATTGATGAAAAGCCCACCCCTGCCCCCAGCTTCCCACTGCAAAAGCAGGTGTGGGCAGTGGTGGGAAGTCCTGGCCTGTAACTCAGGACGGGGCAAGTGTCCTCACCGCAGTGCCAGCCCCTCACTGCCAAGAGGGAAACACGGCTCCGGTTATAAAACACCTCAGCGCTGCCCCGTCAGTACGCCCTGTGGCAGAGCTGCCCTGCAGCACCCTGCAGCCCAGCCTTGCACTGGCTGTCCCTCCCCCGGACAACAGGAGATTGCCAAACCAACAGAACAGGGCAAGATAAATAAGCCAGACAGCAGAAGGGTAAATTAACAGTTAAATATTCACGTTACAAGAAATTACTATCAATACAATATCTAAGCTGTCAAACAGGGGAAAAGTTCCCACACCATCTAGTCCCTCCATGTAAGTTTCAGTTGTTACAACGGGCCAGAGAGGACAGACTTCCCCTGAGCAGTGGTGACTGAGGCGTGCGATCCGCCATACAGTCTTCTACAGGTTACCCCAAACCCAGTTAGACATCACACTGCAAAACCACACACTAATCTCTTACGGGAAACCGTTCAGTTAAAGCGTTAAGGCAGATTCTAAAAATGAAGTTGTATTTACCACAGATGAGTTCGACCTGCTGGACTCTGTTCATGCTGTTAAGGGTGTCCATTAAAGGATCTCTCCTCTCTGTTTCTTGGTCACTGGTACCTTTATTTTCGTAAGCCAAGACAGTGTCACATTCATCTGTCAGGAACTGGACTTCAAGCTCTGAATACATTTTCTGGAGAATAAAGTAAAATTTACTTTCATGTTACAAAAGTTCTCAGACAGAGATGCTCTCCGGAGATCCTTTTGGTGTTCAGTATCACAAATAGTAACAATAAAAATAATAATGTAAATTTTGTATCATGCATTTCCGACAGCTCCCCACGAGGACTTCCAAAGCAATACTGGATTTAAGCAGCAAAGAAAATACAAATGTGTAGAAGCTCCTTTGTGCTGTACTAATTCCAAAGGATTTGGTGTGCCTCTTTATGTGGGGTGGAGGAGGGGTTTAGAGGTTTTTATATGCAGAGTAAGAACATGCACACAGACTGTATCTAAAAGCTTCTCTTCAAAGATTCTCTGGGAGCTCCTCCCTGCTTCCCCCACGTCAGTGACGGTAACAAAGACAGAACACATACCAAACAGTCTTCACAGGTGCACAATTTGCTTCTCCAGTTCAATGGCCAAAAGGTGGCAGTATCTTTTTTTAAATACTGCTTGCTTTGGAGTTCCTTCAGCTTGCAGACTGGCTCCTCGCTCTTAGCAACCACCTGAATTAAAATGAGAGTGTTGAGCGCTCTGTAACATCACTTCAAATACCCTCCGTTCCTTCCAGCATGTCATTTGCCTCATGCAAGGTTCTCCCTTTGTCTCAGACATGCTTATTTTTATAAACAACCTATACTGCCAGTTCATCCACATGAGGATTCTGATGTGGTTTTAGCAGTTTCCGCTGGAAACTTCTGTAGAAATGTACTGCAATACATACATACATACAAAACATACACAAATGTTTAAGAACTCAGAGCTGGACTACCATGCAAATGCAGCTACAATGAACAACACCCCTGTGTTAGAACAAACGCAGAAGTCACCTGGGTGTAAAGGGGTGGATCTAACCTATCTGCAAATGGACGGTACACCCTCGTCACCCACTTCTACCTGTATGTTCCACAGCCTCCGCTGTGCTCCACAGAGACCCCATGTTTGACGTGGCAGTGACTGAAGAGGAATGCAGAAAGAGACTGAAAGCCTTTACCTCTTCACTGCACCTATAAAGAGGTGCTTTCCTTCACCTATCATCAGTACAAAGATGTACAGGACAGAAAAGGTCTGTCTTACCTCTGGACAGGCAGACCCAGAGCTAGTGGATGGTTCATTAAACTGTTCCATTTGCTTTTCCTCCTTCGTTTCTTGGTGTTCTACTCCATCTTCTTTTTTTATTTCTTTTTTCTGCTCTTCACTTTCCTCAACCTTCAGGACAATCCCTTCATCTTCAAGGGAGTTCACTTTGGTCAAAGCAGGAACTGGAAGACATATAAGTGAAAATATCGTGCCAGACAATGTACAGGCGACCACAGACATTCCCTCTGCTTTACAGTGCCGCGTCAGAGAGCACCCAGATCACTGTGTACACTGCAGGGTCCTGGATATACCCTACAGCTGTCCAAAGGCACAGCGACCTAGGTATACAAAGAAACCGCTCCCTGTTTTACCACAGTCTTCTTCACCTCCCATATTCCTAAAATACTCTGCTTCTCAAAATCTAAGCCCGAGGAGAGGGAAAAGGGTGTCACAATTTGAGGTAGTTCTGTACTAAGATGCTTGTCCTTCTCAACACCCCTTGACTGTTATCACAGGTTCAGTAGCTGTTGTGTACTTCTTTGCTGACTTTCTGTCAGTCCTTCGTTTTCTCCAGACACACACCCCAAAACCTCCATGACAGATTAACTGCACTAACCACTTCCTTTTTTAAAGCAAGTTTTTCTTTTGATGTCAATTCAAATGTGTGTCCTGTGACATAGCTGCTTAGAGGGAAGAAAACCAAAAACAAACAAAAAAACCCCTGTTCTGCACTGTATTTACATTAGAAGGAAGAGAACTCCACGTAGGCCAGCCTGGAATCCTTAAAATTACCATTGACATTTCCGGCACATAAGAGATCAATCACCAGCTGATATAAGCAACATTTACAAGACTACATGGAACCAGCTCTTTCCACAGAAATCAAGTCATCTACCCTTCTGGCCCCGCAGAGACCACAGAGCAGACAGAGGCCCGGTGTGACCACAGGGAACGTGTCCCAAGCACAGCCCCAGCCCTACTCAGATTAAGGTTTTACACATTAATTTCAGGTCACTCTATCATTCACTCCTTGCTGCTCGGAGCCTCTTGGACTCAGCTGTTTGCCTCTTCAGTTCTTTGATCCACTTTAGAAATTAAGTTCCTCAAGATGAGTATTAAATCTTCCCCCATCTATGTGCTGGCACATCTTTGATAAAAGAAATGAAAGAGTGAGCACCACAGAATTAAGATTTAGGAATGAGAACTGCATTTTTTTTACAGAACAGTTACTGCAGCCCCACATGTTCCACTGCTGAAGGCGATTGTCCAATATAATGAGTAACATTTCTCCAACCACTTAAACAGTATTATGTCATTAATCAACCAAGTACGAGAAGAACACACTAATGAAATATTGGCTTGGATATCTTAATTTTCTTTACCTGCTAACTGCGAAGCATAGGCCCATAGGAAATGACAGTGATTCATGCAGGCTTGGCATACCATCTCATGGAAATCTCCACTTTCAGGAGGAACTGCACCAAGATGCTGTCAAAACGAAATATGCATGCAGCCATGAAGCCTTCGCTGCAAATTAACGGACTCAACTCTAGGTTTAGAGGAAGTAAAATATCAACTGCCATCACATTTTCAGCACAAGCATACGGTCCTGCTAACTTTCTACAATGATGATCAGTATAATTCAAAGACTGGAAAGAGCTGATAAAAATTCCAGGAAAAAACGAAATAATTCCCTCTTTGTCGAAAGCCTTCTAAGCCTTCTACATACCCAGAAATCTCAGTGCTATCTTTATCCCATTTCTAAACACTTTTCTTCTGAACTCTCCTGAACACAGGACAGGTAAAGATACCTATTGCACACTGCACATTTAAACTTTTAAATAACTTGTGATTACTGTCTTACATGTAAGAGATTGTAAGTCCTCATCCTGAACTTGAGAAGAATTAGGTCCCAAAGCTCTCCATAAACTGGTGAGAGCAATTTAGGCAATTAAAAGCACTTACTGGCTTTCTTTTGAAAAGCACTCTTGCAAAGCTCACAGTATGCAGCATAACATTCTCAATACACACATTTATACAAAAGAATCCTACAGTTTATCTACAAAACCTATAATTGAAGCCAATCATCTTTTTTTAAATTCTTTGATCCATCTTTTTTAAAATTCTTTGATCCTGCAACTTCAAACCTGGAATTTCACTCGTGCCCTTCGAGGCACAAGAGGCTGAATCCTTAATGCTTACATGTTAAGTAGGGCACTCACTGGAGTGCTGAGCTACTTTTAAAAGATTTCCCCAAAGTTCGTAATCAGGAACCAACAGCGCAGTTTGTTCCTTGCTATTTAACGCAATTAAGGTTTAAAAAGCATTCTTTAGAATGAGGAACTATTCAGGTAGTTGATAATGATGTGCCTCATTAAGAATCTTCTTCTAATCTTCTACCAATTAGAATTTTCCAATTAAAGAGATGGTTATTAAGTTATTTTATTCTGCAGCAGTAACCTTCAAAAAAGTAGAACTCTTCCTAGGTTTTTTTTGGATTGGAGTGGGCAGCAGCAAAAGATTAAGTTTTTAATATTCCTTTGCACAGGATGAAAAGAAATAACCTTAGAACTTGTCTAATAATCTTTTGAGAACTACAGCAAACCTTCCCAACTAAGACTAACCATACAAACTTAACCAACACCAACTTATTTCTATGCATATGGCAATTCTGCTACTTATAGTTTCCTTACCCTTCCATGGAACCAGTCTTCACAAACTATGCATTGGATCATCTCATCTGGAATCTAGATGAATGGCCATATTATTAACATTAATAGCAACCTCCAGAATCTTTCACAAGCCTCAAACTGCAGTATTATGCAAAGCCTGCTCAAGTGAATTACATTTCCCTCTTCACCCACCCACAGGGAGCTGCCATTAATAAGCAGTTACTGCTTCATTAGTCAGTTTGCTTCCCTGAAGTTCAACAGCATATGTAATTTGTCTTATTATCAAGACTGTGGAAATTCCCATTTATTATTACAAAACTAGTTTTCCCAGTACAGCAAGACATTCTCCCACAAAAGAGCTGATAAAAGTTAATACAATATTGGTATCTTTCTTCCTGTAAACAGAAACATGTGAACCGGCAGCTTAGCAGAAGAAAGATATTGTTATTCATGATGTCATCAGGTTTACATAGGAATGCCAGAATCCTAACTTAACTGTCCACAATGCAGTACAGTACAAACTGCTTTGTTATGAATCAACTATATATGATTTCTTTAGAAATGTTTAGCTACCTCTGAACTGCAGAGAGGCAAGTTTATAAAACACTTTTTTGTCTTTGAAAGACTTGTGCCTTCCTTATTCTTTAAAACACCTAACTTCTATGACTGCAAACAAAACTGTGCATGTGCAAAACAAGTGGTGTATTTTAGTACTTCAGACAGAGACAAAGTGTTCTAGTCAGAACACTGTAAAGGCAAGCTAAAGCCAGTGCTACAGGACAGACTCTCCCCATCCCAGAAGCCTCGTCAGAGCACTGTTGCAGGCACGAGGAAGCAGATTCTGGTGTCTCCTAAATTGTGCAATGTGTTGATTCTGCGCTCGCCACATTTCTCAAGATGATGAGAAACCCATCCCGTAAGGGAACTCTGTAACTTTAGAGAGACGAAAGCAGAGACAACTGTAGCAGCATTTTGTCCAAATGATGCTTTGTCTTCCTCATCTGCCTTTAAGGTACAAACATATTCTACCATTTAAAAAAAAAAAAAAATGATAAAATAATTACATTATACAGCACATGACCATCAAAAGCAATACAAAACATAAGATTTCTTAAAGTGGGATCTTCCCTGCAAAGCAGCTCAGCGACCACCCTTTGCACAATATTTTGTATAAATATCATCTATATGTGATTACTACTGGGTTTTGTATTTCTTACCTCATCTTCAGGATCAGGATAAGGTCTTTTACAAGTACAGTATAATCCATAGAAATTGTCATTATACTTATTTCCTGAATTCACCTTGCCCTTTTCCTAGAAGGAAAGAAAAAGATGTCTCAAAAGACAAGGCAGCCAAAAACAAAAGACAGAAAAATGTATAATCTAGAAAAACCTGATTCCTCTTCCACTTTAATTCATAAAAGCAATCATGATACTCATCAGCTTGAAGATCCAAAAATAAATACATTATCCAGACGCCTATGCTATACAGTGCTATACAGCAGATAGGGCACATAAGGAATACCGAAGTTCAAAAGGAAAGAGGAAAAACAACCTTTCCAGCTTTGTAACAAATAGCAACTGTGGTGTTTGTTAAGCTACTGCTGCTAATCTAAAACGATGTAAGAGTTTTGATCATCAACTACACCTGTCTGCTGCCATTACAGCAACGTCTATAGATTTATTGTGCGCCTTCCCCTCCACTTTTTTAAAAATCCAGACTGTGATCCAAACCCAACTTTGTTTAATCTTACCACTGAGCTTCTACTAAATTCATGTCATATAAGCCTCACTCTACAGGAGAGGATTATCTAAATTACCAAACATGCTGAATTAAATTAAATTACAGATAATCCCACTAAAAAAAAAAAAAACAAAAAAAAACAAAAAACCCAAAACAACTAATAGAGCTGCAGCCAGAGGGGTCCAGAACTGCACACACTTGCAGCCTAAAGCCACCATCAGCCCCTACAGAAACAGCTGTGATCATTTCTGGTGTTACTACAAAATGCTTTCTGTCACTACTGTGACAAAGGAAGAGTGGACAATGTGAGCACCAGGTGTCCATGAAGTCAGCCAGATTAATGGACGGATGCTGAAGGTCACTTAACCTGTACAATTGATTTTGCACTGAATGGAAGGAGGAGGAACAACCACATGACCCATTTCATGAACTCAAATAAGAAACAGTAACATCTTCAAATCGTCACAGGTGACTCTGTAGGGATCAGTGGACTGTAGCCCTAGGCTGACAAGCTCTGGATCTGTCCCAATTCTGCCAGAACAACATGAGCATACACAAAACCACTTGCTGTTTCTACATTTGGACTGTTATTACCCTGGCAGCAGCACTGCAGGCAAGCCAAGAAGCTTCCAGCCGCTGCCTCCCAGAATACCAACTACTTGACAAGTCCAAAACACCCACCAAGTAGGAAAGTACAGGGTGCTTAATACAGTAAAAAATTATCCTGTCAGTAGGCTCTGGTGATAATGTATCAAAAAAGATTAGGGAACTAACGCCACCAGAAAGAAGGGAACTGTCCCTTTGACAGCAGCACAACCTTAAATTTCCTTAACGCAACTGCAAAATTGCACCCCAAGAGGTTCTCCTGAAGCCAGCTTACAGCTAAAAAGATGTATTAGTGCAGGCACCACAATCTGTTTCTGGCATTATGCCAACCATGGATGCGGAACTGCTGCATTCATGGATGATGCGGACCAAATGTCCTCTCTCCTCTCAACATTTCCCTTTGGTCCCTCAACAGTTTTATCTCCTGCTGTAATACTCCCACCTTGTTTAACTCACTGGGAAAACCAGAGGCATCGCATGAGTCAGCACTGGCTGAGGCAAGACATAAGCCTTCGAAAACTGTTGTTTTGACTCTGTATGTATGAAACCTGTGTCTGAACTTACTGGGAGCAACTTGCACTGCAGATTTTTGAACTTGCTATTTCCACAGTCACAGCGGAAGTTCCTGGAAAAGAGAAACGTAGCGTTTCAGGGGGTTTTTTTATTAACCGAAAACACGTTAGTTTGTGCGGCCGTAACAATCCCCAGCAGTTTATTAGGAGCCACAAAAGTATTCTTGCAGCTATTTTAAACACTACCATCACCCAGAACAGGCCAAGGGGCCCTCAGCCCCTCACGCGGTGCTCTCGGCAGACCTCAGCCAAAACCAGCCCTCGCGACAGCACTTGGCTGGCAGAGCGCAAGGGCACACCTAACCCTGGGCACCGCCGCACTCAAACACCCCAGCAGTCACGCTGGGGAAGGAGTATGAACTGGCTGTTTTCAGAAGGCCGGACCCACGAAGGCGATTAAAGCCGCTGTCGCTGACTCGAGACACCCAAGCTCTCGCTTAAATAGGGCTGTTACACCAAGGGAATGGGGGGGAAAGGGTACCTCAGCCACCTGATCGCGGTCGCCCGTGCAGTTTTGCTGGGAATGGTGTATTTTGTAGGAGTTTACACATCTGAACGTCACCCTACCTCACCGAAACGTATTAGTAACAGCGGCGGAGGCTCTGAGGAAGTTCCCCGGCCCGTCCCGGCCCGGCTCACCTCACGCCCCAGCCCCGCCCCGAGCGGCCCAGCCCCG